TTTTTTTATGCTATATTTTAATGTTTTAAAAGATTAGAGACTAAAGTATATAGTAAATTTCTATTTTATTTGAGACAAAATGTAGATATTGGTGGAGCAATAATTAGTATATGAATATTGGGCTCGTTGGATAGATAGTAATAAATCATGCATGTTAGGCTTGAGGAAAAGTTGATTTGAATTAGCGGAACCCAAGTTATAGAGGTTGAAATATATAGCTTTAAATTATATTTTAATTTATTATTTAATAAATTTAAAATTTTGGTAGATCTCAAGTGACGTGTAGCAAGATTTTTTGTAGGTTGGTGATTAATATATAATTAAAAAAAAAAAGAGTAAAGAAACAAACAAAAGAAGAGAGGGAAGTTATGGGAAGCCACGTGACTAGTGGTTAAAATTAAACTTTGTTTTTATTTATTTATTTATTAATTTTTTTTTTTCCTTAACTAGATTTTTGAATTAAAGGGGGATGACCCAAGTGTAGGGAAATGTGCTGATTTCGATTTTTGAATGACAAGGCTTAGTCAAAATTTTAGTTCACAATACTCATCCATAACCTCATTTCACTCTCACACGTTTTCCTCACGAATACACATGCATGGCACGTAAACACAGGCAAAGAAAGGGTTGTTGGGAATGTGAATTTTTTTTTTGTTTTATCTTTCAAAATTAAAGCAAGTTAAGAAGGTAGGATATTGAGGTGCAGTATTTTTCTATCCCGCTTAAATATTTTTTTTCATATTGATAAATTATTGCACTCATTAAAGTTAAAATATGATATGATATGTCAATTTCGATACAATGATATGATATGAGCTCTTATCGAATTTAAAAATATGAGATGGTATGATTTTCTGATACATGTTTTAAAATTTTTATACGGGATCGATTACACCATGGTGTAAGCCAATTCCTTGTGTAAAATAAGATTCCAATTGGCTAATGAATTTGAATCCAATTTTAAGTTCGAAATTTAGGCCCATTTAATTTATTATCTTCTTCATGACCTCCACTTTCAAAGTATAAAATTTGATCTCCAAACTTTGC